AAGCATAAACGTTACTTTCTGTTCGGTGAATTTTACTTTGCATACATTTGTGATATCGAAAGGGCCTAAAGGGAAATAATTGAGAATGTGTTATTGGATGTAGAGTGACAAGATGTAAACTAGTGTAAAACAATATTTTTGAATATTTGTTTTTCAGCTGTAATTCCATTTGGATATAAATCTTGTCATGTAAGCATCAAGTAATTTTTTAACTTGTGTCATGTAGCGTCATTTTTTGACAATATTGACATTCCTAGAACAACAGGCCATCTTTTTCGAATGAAAGATATGGAATGATTAAGTTGTTGGTACTCGCCGAATCGCCAATGATTAATTTAAACAAAATCAGCACAGGAAATATCGGGATAAATCTGCACAGATGTATGTGTTAAACTAAATGCTCTCCCAAGATATTTATTTAGAACGTTTATATTAGTGTAAACACTACTTCGTGCTTTTCATTAGTTCCGATTTCGCATACATCCTGCTTAATAATATGAACCAATTTTCACCATCGATTAATTGGCATTATTTAGTGTCAAAATGTACCTCTTATGGTATTAGTACAAAACGTGGTCACCACTGCAAAATATAACAAATGAAACGCTTAAATTATGTGCACTGGCAAACCGTTAACGATTACTTGAAATACAACGTTGCAATGCACCTACGGAAAGTTATTTCTTTATGTACATGAACGCTTTAGTACATTATTCATTTACGAGGTCATGCATGTTGTCATGCAATGCAGTAAGAGTGCGTAGGCTTATTATCCAATTGATAAATGTCCCTCTTAATCTTGTTTCTTTTTTATCTCCTACTCTATTTATATCGTGTTTTATTTTACAGGACAAGATCTATTCCAAACACCTTTTTTCGGACGGATTCGATGGATAACCTTGATCTCAGCACCTTTCACAATGATCCAATCGGCATCTTGATGTTCGCTCAGTATGTCCCAACAGTTACTAACGATAACTGATTTCCCATTGCTACCGACGTTTCTCACCAAAAATCTAATCAAATATCGGTCGTCTGTATTTGCTGGCTGTATAGTTAGTATTCATAGAGAAGCATTATAAGGTGATTCACAGTCTCGGAACATTAAAATCAGATGTTTCGGCACTTTATTATGAAAACGAATGCAAAGATACATGTTGTTCTACTCGACCTAATAATTATGGCCAAATTGGCTTAAATAGGGTCGCGCAAATATTATACATTACAAAAAGACATCTATACCTGCACAGTTGTTCGAGTAATTAACTGCTGTCGTCCATACACGCGTTTTAGCCGAAAGTCCAGGGTTGCGTCTGCCTTGATGAACATCTGCACTGAGTGCAAATTGGCGCTTTATTATAAAGACCGTTAACAACCACCACTGGAACTGATGTATGTATAATTGCTACAAAAGATGCCGCATGCTACAGGCACTTAAAGCTACTGATATTTTCTTCGTCGGATTTTATAAATTCTTTCCAACAAAAAATACAGTTAAACTAGTAAGCGCAAGTCTTGTTACCCAATCCTACAAGACTGGAGTTATTTTATGCACTGAGACATCTACGTTAACCTGAAGGTAAAATGACAAATTCGTGTCAGCAGACGAACATTTTTCTCAAAACACATGTAAATTATGCTGCACTGGTTACTCAGAATTCACCTGATGCATTATAAATTATTGAAAAGGTTGCCCATCATCTATTTGATTTCTACTGTCAAAGTATCCGTCAATTACGGACAGAGCTTTATTATTTAATTGTCTGCGTAGATTGACAGCCACCATTTATTGGGACGCAGTTGACTGTAAAAGGGTACTCCTATAGAAGTTGTCTAAATCAAAAGTGTTCTTTTACTGGTATTCTTACGTGTCAAATTAAAAAGCTTATGAGGGCTCATGAAACACGAAATGTACACAGAGTGATCGATGGTTAACGTACTTCTTTTGCTTGTAGATCATAGAAACCGGCAAACATGTCTATTTCCCCTATATAATGCCGTGTTCGCAAACATAATCAAGGTTCCTCAGACGGCCCTGTTCTCAAAAAAGTAGTAAAATGATTCTGACGAACTTAAATCCGTAGCACTGTTTGGTAGGAATAATCATGTCATGTTGTTTCGGAATTGCTACTTCTACTGTCAGAAAATGGGAATGAATGAGTTCGGATTGACTTTTTTTAACGGAAACGCCGCCTGCCTCGGGAAGAGTGTTGCCGTTAACAAACTGGCAGAACTTCCGAACGGACATCCAAATGCTGAAGACGACGTTTTGAAACAAATAACATCTAAGCTGTCAGACAAAATAGCTTATAAGAGAAATGTTTATGTCTTATAAAGCAAGACTTAATAAGGAAAGCTAACATAAGAAGCAGGCTTTGGGTAAGACATGCAATATCGAGATTGCATACAGCAGGACTTGCACCGCATTGCAAGATCGCAGACGATGATAGACAAAACATGAATTTCAGTGCACACACCACTTTTGATTATCAGGCAATGTAGATCTATCCGAGTGGCTCCAGTGACAGTTGTACAAATTATGAATGACCTAACCGCTCCATGTATCACATTTTTCATTCAGAGTTAGCTATTTTAATCCATCCACACAAGTGAACTGTTCGTAATGAACGCGTATGAAACATTAGTTGACAGAGGTCGAGAATTAATTTGTTGTTTGTTACATAGGGTTTAGAGCAATACGTAATAAATAAAATCAAAGCGGTGCAATATGCTCCAGGTTAGTTTGACATTTATTTTTGGGGAAGGATTCGGCATCTTCT